AACATTTTAAAATTTTTAAATAAATAAATAGGTAGTAAGTTTATTATTTCAGAAAAATATTTACACAAACGTGTATAAATAATATAACAATTTATTTACCTTCCAATAATTTATTGATTAATTAGTCAGTATGACAATGTAATAAATATGATATACAAAAATGATTTAGCATTACGAGTATCAAGAATATTCAAATGCTTTTTGTGAAGTAATGATTGTATAATTCAAACAATCAGTGCGTTTACTTAGCATATTATATGAAAAATGAATAAAACATCAAGTTTAAATTAAAACGGCTATATTTGAAAAATTGAAATGTTAGAAAATCGTCAGTCTCACCTTCTTGGTATTAAAATATTTTGTTTTTAAAGTTTTTAATTTGTTGTTTTGTTATGTTTTTTTTGGTACCATTACACTCGAAACTCTTTGGCTTTAAATAATGTTTAATCTCTTTTGATTTAACCTTTTTCTAGCTGTTTAAATAAAGAATTTATTTTTTTTATTACTCTACATACTATTAACATTTAATTACCAATTCTTTCAACACATTTGTACCAACTGGTCCAAGCTCAAATCCAATAAATTAAAGCTACTTAAAAGCTCGACAAAATAAATTCTTTTCTGCTGATTAATACCAGTGCCTTGAGTGTCACTCAATAAACAACAAGTCTTGTAATTTAATAAATTAACCGCTTTTTTTCAACAACGCTTTGGCACATCGCGAAAAGTTGTAAATTTCTTCACTTCCACGTGTTTAAACTTTGACAGGGGTTAAATAAAGTTTGTCGGCGGTTTTCCTACTAATCCTTACAAGTTCAGAAATGCCCATCTGTCACACATAAATTATCCTTTCTTACAAGAAATATCTAAATTCACTAGAGAACCTCTGGATTTTTTTTTATAAGCACAATAATTCAGCAAGTTTTCCGTCGAATTAAATAAAAGGGCTGGGATAAAACAAAAGGCATATAATGGAGAGGATAAGACAAAATGTAAATTTCCATATGCTGCGAGAGTTTTGAAATTCAAATCGGGCCGGATATCTTTTTGTAATCGTCGAGATTGTGAGGATTTAATTGTTTATTTATTCGTATGTTTTCAGCTTCATCATGCTACTACAAATTCCGGTGTAATCATGCAAACAATGATCCTCATCGATAAAGCCCTGAATGAGAACGAGAGTTTCATTTTTAATAACACTTTTTACAAAACGGAAGTTAGCACGAGAGTGCCCCTTCCGGTCAATAGCAGCGATTGGGGTCCTCGTCGCGACCCTTTGGCTATTGTCATCCCCATCACCATTGTCTACACGTTGACTTTCGTTAGCGGAGTCGTCGGCAACGTTAGTACTTGCATCGTCATCGCCCGAAACAAGTCGATGCACACCGCCACCAACTACTACCTCTTCAGTTTGGCCATCTCCGACCTCCTACTCCTCGTTTCAGGCCTCCCTCCTGAAATCTACCTCATCTGGTCGAGATACCCCTACATTTTCGGCGAAGCGTTTTGCATAATGCAAGGCTTCGCGGCTGAAACCTCCGCCAATGCGACTGTTTTAACAATAACGGCGTTTACGGTTGAGAGGTATGTCGCCATTTGCCACCCCTTTCTCTCACACACCCTCTCGAAACTTAACAGAGCTATCAAGTTTATTATTGCGATCTGGATGGTGGCCATGTGTTTGGCAATTCCGCAAGCAATGGCCTTCGGATTGGTCTACGACAAGTTGCCCGATGGGAGGGTCATAGAGGACCATTGTGTTTGCACCGTGAAGAGATTCGTGATTCCACACGCTTTTGAAATTTCGACTTTTGTGTTTTTTGTGGCGCCGATGTCGTTGATCACGGTGCTGTATGTGTTAATTGGATTGCAACTGCATAGATCGACTGTGAGGCCGTCGAGGGGGAACAGTGTCAAGTTAAAACACAGAGTGTATAAGCAGATTAATCCCTCTAATGGAGCGAGTGAAAATGTGGAGAAGAAACAGGAGGAGGAAGGGAGGAAGAATTTTGCGAAGAATGCGCAAGCCACCAAACATGTGGTGAAGATGTTAGGTGAGCAGTCCTTTTTTGTACTTCTAACAAATTACTTTTCCTATTGCTGAAATATAACGGGTCTTTTTTTAAATTCGACGTCACAGTTGGCCGCGAACACACCATGAACACATATGGGAAAAATCACGAGGGTTGACCGGTGCGTCATATGACGTTTGTCCTCACCACGTTTACATCGCGATGACAAAACGTCATTTTTTTTTGACGTTAGGTTCAATATTTACGAGTTAGAAGTTATTGCTGAAATAGTCCGGTCAAAATAGACATTTCAAATAACTAAAATTTCGACAGAGCTAAATTTTGGTGGAGATCTTGGGTACACCATTAGGAATAAAGTGTCAAAAGTCCCCATCGATCCCATGTGTGCTAAAAAAGTTATTCGGGGTCAAAGTCAAAATTTTGATTTTTTTCGAAAACGATATGTTTTATCGAAAAAGTGGCTCGGACAAAAATTATAGATCTTGAAATTATCTACAAAAATGCTCTTCACACTTTTTTTCTAAGACTTATCATTCCTGAGATATCTCGATTCTAAAAGTTGAAGGAGTCACGTTCTACATGATACAGAGTGCGCCAGAACTCCCGCTCCAAAAGACAAAAAATCTAAAAAATTTCAAATTTTGACCGTTGACCCCGAACAACTTTTTTAGCACACATGGGATCGATGGAGACTTTTGACACTTTATTTCTAATGGTGTACCCAAGGTCTCCTCCAAAATTTAGCTCAGTCGGAATATTCATTATTTGGCCACTATTTTTATGACTAATTTGACCGGACTAAAAGTGTTACTTTGTACGATTCTTTGTAAAGACATTTAAAATTTAATGTAATAGATTGGAAATGACGTTCTACATGCACTGCATTCATTACATCATTATGTTTTCCAATGTTTTTGGATGTTGTATCTAAAACTCGAAATTTTTAGTGTACATCAGTTTTTACTGATGTATAAAACGATTTTCTAAATCTAATTCGTGGGTAAGTTGAGAAGAAAACGGATGCAAATTCGGTATTTCATAAATAGGAATTATCATAAACACAAGGAGCGTGTACAAGTAATCTCTTACATTAAGTTTTTTTAAGGGTTTAAAACTATAGACAATCTTATACATTCTTCCAGGTAAGAAAAAAAAAAACTTGAAATTCAACACGTCTACGAAACAAAGTTGCATCTTATATCTTTCGAAAACAAACAATAAACGTTAAGAAGCTTTTATTTTGATCTTATGAAAACCAGAAAGCTACTCATGTGAGAGTCATAATAATGCGTCGATTACTTCATTAAATAATAGGCTTCTTAAACAACGCTCATATTTACCTCAAATATCTAAAATAATCACAATTTTATTTACAGAGTGTGATTTGTGCCATAGCAGACACAATATGTAAAGTACTTACTAAAACAGCATTTGAATGATTTTTTTTATAAGATTAGCTCCATTTTTTTATAGAATAAAGGATGATGTGGGCTAATTTTTATCGGTAACCCTCATTATTTCAATTTTTTACACTAACACAAGTGTTTATGCCTGATTTCATGGAAATTACTTAATCGTTAAGAATTATTAAAAGAAACCAATGAGACGCAGAACAAAAGCAAGAAATTAACCAATAAACGAAAAATACTTCCAAAATATACTAAAAAGACTTTCAATGACGACAATAATGTTATTGTCAATGTCAAATTGACAAATTCACTGGAACATGACATTTAAGTGGTGTAGTTGAAGTACATATGTAAATTAATGTTCAAGGCTACCATCCTTAGAGACCCATTAATTGTTTCAATTTACATTGTGATAGAATTTTTTATTTCATTTTCAAGTTGGTAATGAAAAAATGAAATTGATGACGCACCGGTCTACCCTCCTGATTTTTACTATTAACAAAGCAACATAACATTACAAGTACAATTTTAATAGTATGCACAAAGTTAACCATTCATAATCTTAATCTTGGTAATCTTGGTGAGTTTGTTTACAACTAATTTTGTAATGCCAACTTCGACGTCGAATTTAAAAAAAAACCCGATACATACAGGGTGCGCCAGAACTCGCGCCTCAGAGAAAAATGTCATATAAGGTAAGATACTAGGAACATGGAAAAAATATTAAAAAAAATTTATCTATAAAAATTTCGAAGTTATGAGGGTTTAAAGTTTGCACTTTGACTATTTATTTATGTTGGAAAAAGAAATTTCCAAGTTTTTTTGCCATAGGCTATTAAAAGAGGAAACAAGAAAGCTGTATCCTAAATTGAAACCCTGTTCAATGTTATTTGTGGCTTTTATTGGCAAAACTTTTGTCCCTTTACTAAATAATTGTAAAAAAATATATACAAAATCATCAGTATCATTAAATAGATATAAAAAAATGTTAAATGTCAAAATTGTTTGACAGATAGAATTTTTTAAACATTTTTTTCATGTTCCTGGTATCTTACCTTACTTGAAAATTTTCTCTGGGGCGCGAGTTCTGGCGCAGCCTATATAATACCTAGTTTTTTCTTTTACTCTTTTATTTTTTGTAATATTTATTTAGTAATCACTAAACATAAGAACATTACTTCATTAAAAAATAATAATAATATTATTACAGTAGTAGAATAAATTATGTATTTTATTTTTGAGAAGAATTATACATTTTTACACGACATTCATTAAGCATATACAGAGTGAAGATAAAGTATAGAATCATGCAATATTTTTTTTTAATACTTTTTCTTCAAAAAATAATAGTTAACATAAATTAAAGTATAAATTAAAGTATATATGAAAAATGTGATTGTATTTTGAGAACAATTTTTGTTTTGTTTTTGAGTTATGCGATTTTTTTGTTAAAATTGCAATTTATGTATAAAAAATCGAGTTTTTTTGAAAAAATTAAAGATAGATAGTTGCAATCTTTGCTAGGCTTTTATGAGAAAAACGGTTATATAGTGGGTTGCCATTTAAAAAAAAAAAAAAAAACTTTTAAAACTCAAAAACAAAAAAAAAGATTCAAAAAATTTTATTCTTTATAAAACGTCACATAGTACTTTACCATTCACCAATTAGTTTTTCCAAAATAATAAATACTTTAAGCAAAAAACGTTTGGTTCTATTTCCATACCTTTTATTGACCTGGTATGACTTTCTTCTATAAGCGCTGGAGTCAAAAACGTTTCATAAAATAATAAAGAAATATCTGAGCAATTAAGTTATTGAAAAAAATCGGCTAGTTATCCTGAAATAAATCAAAAATTATTGATAATTTATTAAATTGCGGAATTACTCGTAACACACTACGACTTGAATCTCGACAATTTGTGTTTTAAAAGTGATTTTAACTTAAAATAACATCTTCGTACAGGTAATAATTTATTGTTTCTGGTAGAAAATCGCTTGTTTAATGGTTGTTCTTCACACCTTATGTAATTTTTGTGGTACATCAGTTATTACTAGACTACGGATCAAGCATTATACTTTTCCGTTGTTTATTAGGCAACATAAAATTTCTTGTCGATATAGCTAAATTAAATGAACAAAAACACGATAAGCCCGTCACACCAAACTTTTATTTCAAATAATTTAATTTTTATTTAATAAATAAAAGTTTGGTGTGACGGGCTTATCGTGTTTTTGTTCATCGTTTCCATACCAAGAAGATCCAAGGAGAAGTAGCTAAATTAAAGTTTTCTATTTCACATAAATATTTTTTTTAATGTTTATTTACTAGTTTAGCGTTTTTATTCTGAAAACCTTTTTTAATTTTTATGCTAATTTTAACCATTTCCAGTTTTTGAAGTTTTTTTTGGCTTTAATACTAATAGCTACAAATAATTTATAATTGAGTCGTCTAGTTGCAAAACCGTTTTGAATTTAGATATCTTATCTTTAGCTCTTTCATTATCCGCATCTACCTACAAGACAGTTAAAAAAAAAGATTTTATCTGCAAACGTCACAAAAGTGACCACTTTTATGACTAAATGACACAGGTAAAAGTTTTACTTTTCAGACATGGAGTAAAAACACTGTTTTTACGCCTAGGCGTTTTCACTTTTACTTGACACTTACTTTGACATTTACCACTGTTGTCTCTTTCTTGTCCCTTTCGCTTTTTCAGCATTTTCTGAAGAGGTACAAGGTAGATTATCAGCATTCGACATTTTGCACTATAAACTACACCAGTTATTCACCAGTTAAATCAATCAACACTTTCGAAATCTCAACACAAATTCCGAAACTGACGCGTGACGTTTGTTATGATTTTATTGCAAAGCGTCCTGATTATTGAGGTGATTTACTTGATTATTGGTGTGTTGCTCTTTTCGTTGCATCTGAATCGTTTGCAGATAAAATAGTATATGTTATTTGGAGTAAAAGTGAGTTTATGTGGCTCAGCTGAATCCATTTGCCTCACTCCGTTTGGCAAAATGAACGTTCAGCTTCGCCACATAAACAATCACTTTTACTCCTAATAACATAATCTACTATTAAAAACTGAAACATAATTTGGCATTTTTATAGCCAATTATGCTTTGGGGGGTGACTCAATAAAAAAAAAACTAGACAAGTGAGGTCTGACTTTAATAGAATTAAATTAAATAATAAATAATTGTATAAAGGCTATTTTAAAAGAAATTGAAACTGTCGGCAACTTTGTACAAAAAAAATACAATACGTTCCAATTTTCTTACAAACATAAAAGTGGAAACAAGCTTTTCACATTTTATAAATGTGTAGTAGATAATTTAGAAAAACATTTATTCATTACTTTTTAATAAAAATGATAAACAATAACTTTATTAAGATATTTTTATACAGGGTGTTCGGTCCAAGTCTCCCCGGCCGATAACACCTAAACTTACTTTTTTTTTTTCAAAAACTAGTTTTTTAAATAATACTATTCATTCCTCGTTTTCTTAGTAAATGCATCAAATTTTTTTTGGCACGTCCGGTGTAGCCGGAAATGCTATCAAATTTAGTTTTTCAAATGGAACACCTATGTTTTTTTGCTC